TAGTAGCTGTGACTATATGCAGCAAAAATCCCTTTCAAGGTCAGCCACCGGATCCACACCATTACCTACAATTCTTTTAAAAGTTCCTCAATATGGCCGACCTAGTTAGGAAAATTGGTAATTTTTTTTTAATGAAAAATAAGTTGGCGTTAGTGAATTAAGAAATTGATTTAGTCTTTGGTTAACAATAACATTTTTCAGGATTGTCAAGTTGACGTTAAAGTTAGTTATTAGGTGGTTGTCATAAATAAAACATAGATTATTGAAATTATTTAATAAGAATAAATGTATTTTACAGCAGATTCGAAGAGATTTTACTTAAAGGTATTTATAAACTTTCAGTGAGAATATTAACTCCCCTGTTTCTTATATTTCAGTTAAAGGGACGTAAGAACTATAGGGAAGTGAATTTTGTTTCATGTTTTGACGATATGAGAGTTCCTAGAATTATCAAGATTATTGAATAATTATAGCTGTTTAATAAGTGAAATTAATAGAAGACTTGGAAATAGGATGATCTGTTTCATGTTATAGTTTATAGATTACCTCATTTCTCTTAATTTGTTTTTATTTCAGTACAGCATCACAAATTGAATTGATGTGTGCAAAAACAGCTATATATTTTCAAACATCTTATTTAAATAGTTCTTTATATACTGTTAAACTGTTTCAACTACAAAGTCTTTAGCAAAAGTTATAAGGTAATAAATTTTGTATAATTTATGAAAATTTATATATAAAGTTTAGAACACAATCCTCTGAGGGAAAAAAGACATACTCATAAACTCATTAAATATACTTTATTAAAAATAACAACATAAAAACAGCCATGCAAACTGTAATAATCAGAACATTATCCACATACCTTTATTAAATATGTTATGACACTGTCAAGAAAGCCAGAAATGTTTGTTTAAATATTAACTTATTTTAAATTGCCAGAAACACATCAGAATATGTCACAACCACAACTATAGGTTTGGAATCAGTACTAAATTTTACCTAGTGGGGTAATGTGTGAACTAACAAGTAGGATAAAAAGAATTATTAATATAGGGTGTACTATACAATGTCCTGCTTATTTATGAAATTACTTTCCTTCTGAATGCGAGAATACCAGTAAAATAAAACATAATTTTGGATTTGGTTTGGTGTTTGATATTCTAACTACATCTATTACAAAACCTTAAGTGCTTTTAGTGAGAATTCCATTTTTATTATTCTTTATCCTGTAAAGTAAAAAATATATATTTCAAGAAATATATAAAAATTAATGCAATAGATATCAAACAGATTCATAAAAACTACTTACAATTATTGTACATATTATATATTTCAAGTGTTATTTGATCTTTGGTCCCATTATCACTAACATTACCTTATTTTCAAGTCTTCTACTAACTCAACTTTTAAACCTGTTTAAAGCTTCTTTATATTTTAAAATTGATTTATAAACAACTGTAATGTCCAAGGCTGCTTCCTGAAATATAAGTTTTAATCTATTTATTATCATATACATATTACAAACCTGAAAATTACTGGATACGAGGAAATTTCTCAAAATAATTAGAGACCTTTACAAACATCTGACTAATTTATTTTCACGAATTTGTGGACGAGTCATTTCAATACGTTTTTAAGCGTTTACGCATTTTGAATATCTTCCAGCCTATCTTCGTTCTTGATCGGTGAAAAGATTATTTATAACTTAACTATATAATTAGTACTGCAGGCTGCACAAAGAACAAAATCAAGTAGAAATTGTGAATAAAATCTCAAAATAATGAAAATATTTAGAAAAGGAACTGTAAACGTCAATGTCTGTCAGCTGTCAGCCAGAGTGCTTCAGAGTTCAATTGGATTTACCACAGATTATCAATTTGAACGATTTGAACTACAGTCGATTCCAGTCTAGAGATTTTCGTTTTTTAAGCCTCCCATACTGAAGTCCGCCATATTGGGAAGTTTTAAATGAATACAAGTTATGGAGTCTAAAAGGAGGAGGCGAATCGAACGCAAAAATTATGGGCCCAGTTTTTGAGATCTAAATGAAGTTCGAAAATCGCCGTTAGGGGCGCTTGTGATGATTGGGATACTAGAAATACACAGCTTCTTATGGCAAGAATAACTATTTTGTTATAAATTATAGAGCCAAGTTAATATTTTAAGCATATTTTTACCAGAGTTAGCTTTAGAAATCGTGGTTTAATTGAGCAAATGTGCGTGGCTAAATTGTGAATACAAAACCTTAAATTTGAGTTTGAAAAGTTAGTTAGGTTATATTAGATGCCTGTTTAATATATCCTTTTCCTAAGTTGATATTATAAAAATGTTTTATTATGTGGTTCTTTTAGTGCATACACGACCGAAGAAACATATAAGCTGCTAAAATAAATCTTCCCTAGAACTGTTGTACAAAAAAAAGATAGAAGTTCCAGCAACAAATTTATCACCAGTTCAACCTTTGATTTGATGTAAACAGTAATTGTTTCTTGGATGAGAAATGCGAATGAAATAGTTTATGGTGTGATTGTGTTAGTGTTTTATTAATAGTTTTGTTGATGCAGTTAAAGGTTCATAGTTTTCATTAAAACATTTGAAATTGACATGTTTACATGCAGTTTGTGTGATACCATTTTAATAAACATGTCTTTCTAACCAGTAGTGGTTTTATGGCGATTGACAGATTGAATAACGAAAATTAAGAGTATTTATCAGGAATAACTTAATCATAAATGGAAACTGAAGACTAACGTTACCATTGCACCCCTTTGATCGGTGTTATCTATTCCATAACTTTTATAGCTGAAACTAGAGAGTAGGTATATTGAGCTGAAACGTTTCCTGTGTTCAGCCAGCGTTTTTTCTAGCGTTGAATTGTAAGTTTTAATGTCATTAGCAAAGCTTTGCAAATTGTCACTGTTTCAGACAAATGAATCGATATATTATATTCAATGTCACCTAATAATTGTAAAGGTTTTTCTATTGATATTCACTTTATTAATATAAGGTAGGTTTGTAAATAAAATATTAATGAATAAATACTCAGTTTATTTCAGCACAAAATACAGAGTTGTGAATATGTATATACGCTGACTTATTTCATCATATAAATATTTATTTAGCAATATTAATACATTACAACTTTTGTTTCTATTAACTAATTCCACTAAATTTAATAAATAAAATATACAATATATAAATTTAATTTAGGTAATTTTAGCACCTAGTAAGTATTAAATTATTTTAATTTTATAACAAGGCCTCCTAGGTTATGTTATACACATGTTGATTTTAGGCTATATTTCCTATTAATTTGGTTTATAATTTAATCTGTACACTGACAGTATATAATTTTAATGTTTTTCTTAACATCTATCCATAATTTTTATAAATAAATAGTCACTACTTACATTAGAGCTTTGAAAAGCTTGGGTTTCTTTCACCCTGTTCTTTATTTGCCTTGTTTTTATTGGGATTCCCTACTTGTACAGCCAGGTACAAAGCAATTTCTACCACGACTCATTGTTGTACTGCTAAAAATTCAGTAAATTAACTATAAATTTTATTAAAAAACATACTAAATCGTATACTAACAATGAAAATGTAGTATCCCAGTCGATCGCAGTGCCTCTGCTGTCAAACCGAGGAAGCTGCTTAAAAGTGGGGACAGAAATTTCAAATTTGCCCATTGCCGATAAATCTCCTTTTTTAAGCCCTCCATAATACAAGTATAGTCTGTCCAACGAGAAGATCCTTGACAGTGATAGATATGTCTGTCATTTTAATTTCAAAGTAGTTTATTTTATTTTACAAAGAAATAAGTTGGTACAACTGGAACGCATAGCGATATATTTAAAATTTGATTGACAAGATGACAAGTGATTACTTCCAAAATATTGTGAAAAGTGTATAAAACTGAAAAATGTAATCGAGTTATTTTGTTTAATAAAACGGTGTGTTAACAAACAAACAAGAACAAGACACTGTACCAAAAAATATAAAAGAACTATTATTACTAAGCTTTATGAAACTACTCATTTATGATTATATTTATCAATATAACTTATGTACAATACAAATTTGTAATATTCCACAGGAATAAATAAACAACATAGGTAAATAAAACAAACTATTTTATTAATAATAACACCTACCAAATTTTATACCTTAAAGGCTGATTAATTACCTTAATTTTAATTTTTAAACCAGTACCTTTGACATTGTTTTTCTGCAGTACTAAAATCCATTATTTACCTATCGTGTGATGTCAGATATTTTTACAGCTACCCAGTTTTTAGTATGTGTTTAGTTTGATCCTTCTACCATATACAGAGATAATTCTATCTACGACGAAATGGTATACAAACTTTATCGATGGGTAACTTCATTGGTGAGTAAGACTTTCTGCCTGGGCAGCGAGTATTAACCATAAACTGTGCTCTGGGTCTACAGTTAATTTTCACTCGATTTTCCCTCCACTTGACTTCAAAATTAAGACACAAAAACACGTAATAATACGAATCAAAATGCATTATCTTCCAAACGCAGGGTATTTAACAAAAGTTGACACAAAATTATAACCTATAATTTGGCAAGACTTTGACAAGCGTCAAAAATGACAAAATCTAAAGGCAGTTCATACGCATCGGTGTCCGTTTGTCGTTCATCGTTCCGCTGTCAAACCAATAAAATTGAAATACGATCTAAGTAAATAAACCAATAAAACTGGTTAAAAACAACAAGACACGACGTGTGACGGATTTATATTTAAACCCATCCATAGATAACTTAAAAATTATTAGAAACTTTTTTTAGTAAAATAAATAGATTGGTATGGGACGTCATCTGCTTTTCTTCTGTCATCGTCTGTCGAAATCTTACCTGAGAAAAAAAACAGAGTATATAGCTCAGAGATATGGAAGTGGGAGAATGAGCTTCGACGAGTGCGCATCCAAATTTTTGTCGACGGCAAGATGGCAGACATCTTCCAGGTATGGAGTCTAAAAGGAGGAGGCGAATCGAACGCAAAAATTATGGGCCCAGTTTTTGAGATCTAAATGAAGTTCGAAAATCGCCGTTAGGGGCGCTTGTGATGATTGGGATACTAGAAATACACAGCTTCTTATGGCAAGAATAACTATTTTGTTATAAATTATAGAGCCAAGTTAATATTTGGGCATATTTTTACCAGAGTTAGCTTTTAGAAACGTGGTTTTTCTAATTGAGCAATGTGCGTGGCTAAAATTGTGAATACAAAACCTTAAATTTGAGTTTGAAAAGTTAGTTAGGTTATATTAGATGCCGGTTTAATATATCCTTTTCCTAAGTTGATATTATAAAAATGTTTTATTATGTGGTTCTTTTTAGTGCATACACGACCGAAGAAACATATAAGCTGCTAAAATAAATCTTCCCTAGAACTGTTGTACAAAAAAGATAGAAGTTCCAGCAACAAATTTATCACCAGTTCAACCTTTGATTTGATGTAAACAGTAATTGTTTCTTGATGAGAAATGCGAATGAAATAGTTTATGGTGTGATTGTGTTAGTGTTTTATTAATAGTTTTGTTGATGCAGTTTAAAGGTTCATAGTTTTTCATTAAAACATTTGAAATTGACATGTTTACATGCAGTTTAGTGTGATACCATTTTAATAAACATTAAAATCTTTCGAACTAGTAGTGGTTTTATGGCGATTGACAGATTGAATAACGAAAATTAAGAGTATTTTATCAGGAATAACTTAATCATAAATGGAAACTGAAGACGAACGTTACCATTGCACCCTTTGATCGGTGTTATCTATTCCATAACTTTTTATAGCTGAAACTAGAGAGTAGGTATATTGAGCTGAAACGTTTCCTGTGTTCAATAGCGTTTTTTCTAGCGTTGAATTGTAAGTTTTAATGTCATTAGCAAAGTTTTGCAAATTGTCACTGTTTCGTAGACAATTAAATTCAAGATATATTATATTCAATGTCACCTAATAATTGTAAAGGTTTTTCTATTGATATTCACTTTATTAATATAAGGTAGGTTTGTAAATAAAATATTAATGAATAAATAATGTACTCAGTTTATTTCAAAAGCACAAAAATACAGAGTTGTGAATATGTATATACGCTGACTTATTTCATCATATAAATATTTATTTAGCAATATTAATACATTACAACTTTTGTTTCTATTAACTAATTCCACTAAATTTAATAAATAAAATATACAATATATAAATTTAATATACAATTTAGCACTTAGATATTAAATATCTATATGTACTATGCCAAAAAATAAAACAGGAACAGGTTTTTTTTGGCAAGTAAGTATCATCCCACTCAGCAAAGACTATTTCATTTGAACCTGAAATAAATGTACCTGCCCATCGCTTGTTTGGTGTGCCAACTGCAGCCAAACTATTTTTCAAATTTGTGAACATAGTAACTCTACTGTCTGTAACATCAACTGGCACATTAGTAATATCACGAAGAATTTCATTCTCATTCTCAAAGTTAGGTTCTGAAGTTTGATTTTCAACATGATTAATAGGCAGACCTTTTACTTTTTTTGAATTAGAAACTTTTTCAGTTGCTTCACTCCTTACACATGGTGGTTTCCTCTTTCTTTTATTACTAGAGAAATATGAAGGCAGGTTAGGAAAAATTCTTGGAATTGAACCCTCCTTTAATAATGGTCTACCCCGCTCAATTCTACTGATAGTTCCGTCAGTTAATTTGATCTCATAATGAGTCAAAATATCTTCATCTAGAAAATGTAGTTCACAAACAGCATCTTTGCTGCTAAGTGTCTTGTCTGATCTGGGTATCGCCTTTTGCCACTGCTGTAGCAAGCTAGGATCCTAATAAAAGATATATAATTGTTAAATAAAATAAAAAAAAAACATTTTTCACTATTAAAGCTGTTATTTTGAGAATACGATCTTGAAGTATAAATATTTAATATTCACTTTCAATAGCACTGTTCAAACTGTGGTTAATATAGGTACATGTCAACAGGTAATTTTAGCACCTAGTAAGTATTAAATTATTTTAATTTTATAACAAGGCCTCCTAGGTTATGTTATACACATGTTGATTTTAGGCTATATTTCCTATTAATTTGGTTTATAATTTAATCTGTACACTGACAGTATATAATTTTAATGTTTTTCTTAACATCTATCCATAATTTTTATAAATAAATAGTCATACTACTTACATTAGGAGCTTTGAAAAGGCTTGGGTTTCTTTCACCCCGTTCTTTATTTGCCTTGTTTTTATTGGGATTCCCACTTGTACAGCCAGGTACAAAGCAATTTCTACCACGACTCATTGTTGTACTGCTAAAAATTCAGTAAATTAACTATAAATTTTATTAAAAACACAATTAAATCGTATACTAACAATGAAAATGTAGTATCCCAGTCGATCGCAGTGCCTCTGCTGTCAAACCGAGGAAGCTGCTTAAAAGTGGGGACAGAAATTTCAAAGTCAAGTCGATAAATCTCCTTTTTAAGTCAGATATGACAAATGTCAGAAGTCAGAAGTCAGAATAATGATGTTTTTGTTTACAGCCACAACAAATCTAAATGTTATTTAAGAAATGGTCAAATAAGTTATTTATATATAACAAGAAACACAAAATAAAAGTTAATTATTTTTAGACTGCCCATATTGGAACATTTTGTATAAAAAGCATCAAGGAACGCGTATCAGAAGTGAATATATCTCGTACGGAAAATTTTTGCTTTGGCGAAGCTTTATCGTCAGTTTACCCTTTGTTGGATATTATATTCAAGTACCTACCTTTTAGTGATTTAAGAGCATGCAGGGACGTGTGTTCTACGTGGCGCGAAAAAGCCGAAGAAATATTGTTAAAGAGAACAGCTCCCAGTTGGTTCACATGTTATAAAGTTGGATCAAAAGGACGTAAGGGAAATATTATCGCACATAGTAGTAATTTAAATTATAATAATGTTGGATTGGGAATTATTCTGTATGATAACTATAGAATAAAATTAAATAAATACATTTGTTTGCATAATAACATTGTTGAATTAACTCGAAAATCAGGTATAAATATATTTAATAATTTTGGGGAAGGAAAATATATAATTATCGTTAATTTTAGTGCCAGAGTATTTGGAAGAAGAACTTGTACCTAAGTCAGTAGACTATTGTTTACTGTCAGTGCCTAGGGTTGTTTCCCATTTTAATAATGACCGAAGTGTAAAAGATATTCAAGTATGTATATTTGTATACCTATAAAGCTTTCAATAATTTTTTATATGTCACATTGGAAAATAATATTATAGCATCATGGATCAATATTTGATGGTATTTTTATTCCAAAAATTCCATCTGTTAGAACTGTTATGTTCCATTGTAATCCAAGTAAGAAAAGGGAGGTTGAAGATGCAGTTCAAAAATATATAAAGAAAAATGAACAAGTTAAATGTGCATTATTATTTTGTAAGACACAATTACTTGAGAGTTTATATACTTTTTTGGAGTACATAATACCAAAGTGAGTGTTTTAATCTAAGTTCTATAACAATTGTGTGTTATTTAATTATTTTTATTATAGAAATAAACCCCGTACAGTTGCTTTAGGAGGTGGTGTTATTAGAGGAACAAAGACATTTCAACAAATAAATCCTGATAAAAAAATATATACTGCAAAAGATGTTGTATGTATTTTATTTTTGAAAGATACAACGGCTGACATTCATAATTTTAATGCTTATTCATGTGTAATTAGAGGTAATGATTTATCAAAAGAAGAATTTAATGCAGAATTAGAGGAAGTAAGTACCTATAATATTAAAGGTTGTACTAGATCATTTTAACGAAGAATAAATTTTAGTTCAGAAGTAATATAATTCTAAAAAATCATAGCTTAGGTTTTCGAATATGTTGTTCAGCAAAATACCAGGAAACTGAACTTGATTCGTTCGAAGAAATATTTCCACAAATTCCACTTCTTGGATTGGATGCATATGGAGAAATTGGTTGGAATTCTTACCCTAATGCTAATCTACAAAGTAAACATGTACATAATTTTGGATGTAAATGAATTATCAATTCATATATTTTTAGATGAACCACAAAAGACCAAACGACTCAAAAGATCTACAGTTTTGCCAATTGCTGAAAATATATTTTCTACTATTTTTATTTTGATTACTTGGGATTAATTCTGATTTTTGTTATTCTATGGAACATATTTATTTCAGTTGTCAAATATTTAAAATAATACTTTATTTGAAATATTTTCTTCGGAGGATATTTAGCCAATTATTGTTACAATCAGTTTTTTAAATATATAGTATGTATATATATTAAAGTAACTGCTCACAGTATGTGTTTATTTTAAGACAATAATTTTTTTCTGAAGTCTCAGAGTTACTTGAGAATCTATAGTCTGTTTCAAAAAGCCTGATAGCACAGTGAGAAGAGGGTGCCTAAAACATCATAAACCATAGGTGCTACAATTTTTACAAATTCACTTTATGGTTATAAACCCCGCCAATTTAAGAAGTGTCTAGCCCTAGCAAGCAACTATTAAGCTTGACCAATCAGGTTGGTTAGCGTGGTTATTTGGAGTGTGTTAATTCATTGGTTTTTGTCAAAAACTCTGACGTGATTGGTCGGGGTTAATAGTTGCCTGCTAGGGCTAGACACAAGTCCAATTTACCTGTAAAAATGCATTTATGTCATTTACCTGTCAAAAATTATGTGCATTATCTCCAAGGACCGTATTTATTCTAAAGGACTGTTCGATCCTAAGGTTCGATCCCGTCAAATCGCCGCTATCATAGTCCCCGTGGATGCTTACGTCACGCAGGGACCAGCGCTCCACAGTGCGGCGGATGGTTATTCTAGCGGGAAAAAATCTCATGAGCGATATTTGGGACTTAAAATCTAAGAACGTAGTAAATGGTCTAATATATGGCAACCATATGGTTAAATTTATTTATTTATTAACAACTTAATTTATTAATAAATAAATAAATACAAGATAATAAAACTATGATATTATTCGTACATGACACACAAAAACCGTACTGTAAACTATTGCCAAATACATAAAATTATGATATCAGGTGAAATACTTACAAAAACTCTTTAGCAGTTATTTTTTAATTACTTTGTAATCTTGTGACACCCTGTATATTTTATTTTAAAAAAATCTATTTTATTTATAAAATAATAAATAAGATAGATATTTTAATTTTAACACTCAGTAATTGTAAATTCATATATAGTAAAAGTATCTAAGACAATTTTTTAAACTTTTATTAAAACTGGTAATAATCACTTAGTTTTATTATAAATTATCAGAAAGTAAAAAAAAGGCTTTAGCATATCGTCATGCTTTATTTAACTATAATAAATAACTTAAAATACTGTTAAGGTCAAGGTGTATTACTGGTTGCATAACCGCAACGTGCATTGAGGAACCTGGCGAATTCGATAGAAAGTAAAAGAAAATTACAGAATTCTTTAGAAAATTCCAGAAACCATCGCCAGGGGGTATATAAGGCCCGCGCTTTGACAGTTGGACCAGTAGTCTGAAGTTTGATAATACCGCGAAATACCGTTAGAGTAATAGTAGTTGCATAAGTTGTGTTGTAAATAGTATAAGTTGTGTGTACAGAGTGAAACAAATAAATTCGTTAAGTATTTTATCGTGAGTTTAAATAATGGACCCACGGAATCCGTAACAATTGGTGTCGGAAGTGCGATTCAAGAGGATTTTAAGAAGAAATTAAGTGGATTGGAAGATTTTTAGACCGAATTAGAGTATTTTTATGGTTGGTACAAGGGAACAAGCGAAGAAAATGGAGGAAGTAAGCAAATTATTGGGCGATTTTATGGAGAATATGAGAAGAGAAAAGGCAGAAGAACAAGAGAGGCTGCGAAAAGAAAAAGCAGAAGATCAAGAAAGACTCCGTAAAGAACGAGAAGAAGAGCGAGCCCGAATAGAAAGAGAAAAGGAAGAGGAAAAATTACGACGTCAACAAGAACAGGACCGGCTTGAGAACATTTTCGAAGATTTAAAAATTCAACGACAACAAGATAAACAAGAAGAACAGGACCGGCTTGAGAAAATGTTGGATAATTTGGAAATTCGTTTGGAGGAGCGACGTCAGAGAGAAAAGCAAGAAGAACAGGACCGGCTTCAGAAAATTTTAGAAAATCAGGAAATTCGACTTCACAAAAACTTCGAGGATATGAAAAAGGAGCAACAAGTAATGTTGGAAGTACGTTGCCAGGAACAGCAAAATCACCTTCAAGAAGCCGTAGAAGATCTGGAGGAGCGCCTTCAGCAGAAGATAGAAAGGTTGGAGATGGACCTACAGAAGACCAAGGTACAAGTAAGGACACCTGGCGTTCCGGGAACTGCAAACCTTAAGGCCCCGACCTACGATGGACAAACGACATGGATGATGTACCACCTCCAGTTTGAAGCAGCGGCTGCTGCCAATGGATGGACTGACCAAGAGAAAGCAGCAGCACTTGTCATCGCGCTGCGTGGCCCTGCCCTGGAACTGTTGCAAACTATTCCTGCAGCCCAACAGCAGGAATACCAAACTTTGGTTGCTGCACTGGACAGAAGATATGGCGACCAACATCGACGTCAACTTTACCAGGCCCAGATCAAGACATGCCTGCAGAGGTCCGGAGAGAGTCTGCAGGAATTTGAAGCAGACTTACGTCGGCTGGTACACCTAGCGTATCCTGAAGCACCGGAAGGATTTAGGGAGGAACTCGCTGCTCAGTGCTTTATCAGCGGACTGAGGGACAACGAATTACAGAGGGCGCTGCAAATATCCCGATTTTCTACCAGCAGCGAAGCACTGGTCAGGGCGCTGGAAATCGAAGCTGCTTTTAGCGCCATCCCTAGACCGAAGATAAGATCGGTAACGGTAGAGGAACAGCCCGAGAGTACCCACAGAAGTTTGGAGGAGATGTGTAGAAAATTCGACAAACTATGTGAGCTACTAATAAACAAGGGAGTCAACAATAACCAGACAGAGAACCAGAGAAGATCCCAGGACATAAGGTGCTATAGATGTGGCAGGAATGGCCACATCAAACGGGATTGCCGCGTTCAAATGCGATCCCGTTCACCATCCAGAGAACGTAGGCACCAGGAAAACTAAAATCAGTCAATACTAAGGGGCGAGTATTGACTGGGGAGAACAGAGCCCCCAGGATTTTTTCCATTAGAAGTCTAGGAAGAACCGCTGACAGTTTGGTGATCGACGGGAAAGTCAATGGAAAGGGAATTCGAATGACAGTGGACACTGGCGCTATGGTATCGTTGGTGCGGGCTAACTCAGTGCAAGGATTAAAGCTGATGCCTCTGAGAAGAAGAGTGTGTTTACGTACAGTTACGGGGGAAATGGCCGTTGTACGGGGAGAGGCTATCGTCGAACTGAAGTTAGGAAATTTGAAGTTCCAGCATAGCGTTTTAGTGGCGGATATTGAAGATGACTTCATCTTGGGCATGGATGTGATTCGTCAACATGGATTTTCGTTCGATCACCAAAGAAATATCCTAAATATCGGAAACGAAGAGTTCGTGTTATCTCCAGACGAGGGACCAGGAAGAATGGATGTAAGATCAGCGGAAACTGTGGTGATACCTGGTAATACCGAGAAGATCGTATTCGGTAAAGTGGAGAAAATCGCTGGGTGCTGTGTTGGACTGGTACAAAGTAGCGACAAGAAACAAGATAGGTACTTAGTAGGAAAATCATTGGTGAACACCGACAAGAATATACCGATCAGAATTGCGAATGTTTTCCTGAATTGTGTCAAGATCCAAAAAGGTGACAAGATAGCCATCTGCGAACCTGTAAGAAGTGTCACCCGATGTGATGAAGTGTCGTCAGCTGTTACACAAAAGGCATCCCAAGAAACACTAAAACATCTAGAACAGCCATGGGATCACCTAACACCTGAGGAGAAACAGAAGGCCAAGCAGTTCCTGCTAAAGCATGGCAGTATTTTTGAGAAGAACAACAGTGGAAGAACGGATTTTGTGAAGCACCGGATTAATACTGGTCATGCTCAGCCGATTCGACAACGTCCTAGAAGGGAATGCCAAACAACAAGAAATGGAGACAATGGTAGATAAGATGTTAGAAGATGGAGTAATCGAAGAATCATCAAGTCCATGGTCATCTCCTGTTGTTTTGGTGACGAAGAAAGATGGTAGTACACGATTCTGCGTGGATTATAGGAAGCTCAATGACGTCACTAAGAAGGATAGCTACCCACTGCCACGTATAGATGACACATTAACAACTCTGGCAGGTTCGTGCTGGTTCTCCACTCTCGACTTAAAGAGTGGATACTGGCAAGTTGGTCTAGACGAGGAAGACAAAGAAAAGACGGCTTTTTCTACAAGAAACGGACTATATCAATTCAAGGTCATGCCGTTTGGATTATGCAATGCTCCAGCCACTTTCGAACGTCTCATGGAGGTGGTGTTAAGAGGATTAACTTGGAAAACGTGCTTGGTTTACCTCGACGATGTATTGGTTATGGGAAGAACTTTTGAGGAGCATTTGCGAAATTTAGAAGAAGTCTTCGGCCGCATAAGGAATGCGCACCTGTACTTGAACCCGAAGAAGTGTAGCTTATTCCAGCGACAAGTGGAATTCTTGGGTCATGTAGTTTCGGCAGACGGAATTTACACCGATCAGAAGAAAATCGCTGCAATCAAGGATTGGCCTAAACCTCGCGACAAACATGAACTTAGAAGTTTCCTTGGTTTATGCACTTATTACAGAAGATTTGTCAAGGGATTTGCCAATATAGCTGCACCCTTACATAGGCTTACAGGTGATGAAGTCGGCTACGAATGGAACACCGATTGTGATGTAGCCTTTGGAAGACTTAAGGCGGCTTTATGTTCAAGTCCTATTTTAGCCTACCCACAACAACAAGGGAGGTATATCCTGGACACAGACGCCAGCAACATCGGCATAGGAGCAGTGCTATCACAAGTCCAAGATGGCGAAGAACGAGTGGTAGAATATTACAGTCGAGTTCTATCCAAACCGGAAAGGAATTACTGCGTTACCCGGAAGGAGCTGCTAGCAATTGTGAAGGCAGTTGATCATTTTCATAAATACCTGTATGGCCAAGAACTTTTAATTAGGACAGATCATGCGGCTCTCAAATGGCTTATGGAGATGAAACAACCTGAAGGCCAAATAGCACGATGGCTCGAGAACCTCCAGCAGTATCACTTTACCATCCAACATCGTGCTGGGAAGATGCATGGTAACGCAGACGGTTTATCCAGAAGACCCTGTCAAACCGATTGTAAGCACTG